GCATTTAAAAAAATATTTTACGGTTCACAAATCATGTTTATGTTTTGAATTTGTGTTTTGGCCTGTTGCGCCACCCACCGCAGTCTACCAGTCACGCAGTCAGTAGAGTCTCAGCATCAGTTACAGTTACGACTAAGCTACAGCAGCACAGCGAGCAGCAATAGCAGTGTCCCAGTACATAGCATTAGCAGCCGGCTCCTCCACTGTATCCCGGCAGCAGCGTTAGCAGCAGAGAAGCCGGACTTGCTCGAATGATCCGCTGGAAAACCGAAGATCAAGGACGCAGTGACACGGCCCTGCCACGGCAGCCGCCCGTGGGCAAACAAATCAGTCTCCAGCGTGCCGCTGTTCAGCAACCTCGAATCTGTAGGGGAGGGGGGGCGGACACGACTCGCAGCAGTATTTTGAATTTGAGTGCAGTAACCGTTTTGGCCACATTCTTACATACAACGCCTTTAACCCTATGGGCCCGAAGGACGCATAGTACAACCAAATTCACACCTGTTCTTCTCTATTGATTCGTCATAGCAAGAAGCCACGCACATCACGTGAAACAGCAGAATCGTAGCTTTTCGACAAGACCAAGCACTTGTCGGTAGTCCAATGTTTAGTTACACTAAAATGATGTATAACAGAGCTTTCATACAGCTTTGCACACACATTACTCTTAGATGGATTACTCGCGAATGCAGGCTCGCACAGAAATGCCACGCATATCACATGAAAGAGCAGGACAAGAGCTTTCCAGTGATACCATACACATCATTGCACTGTCATCCCATCATGCTATAAATCCAGATCAATTGTCTACAAAATAAAAACCTGACGAATTTCTTTACAATCCATCTTGTTATCAGTCACTTCATATAGCGAGGAATATCGTATCTTACCACGTCTTAGGCTTGCGTGTGTTTCTCCCTGTCTATCCACATTTATAGTCCGGCTTTCAAGATGCAAAAATCTCCATATTGTCCAGTTAACACTCAAAAAAAATAAAAAAAAAAAAACAAAAAACTTCACCTTTGCAAACACAGACAACTGTAGCCTAATTATGCATGCATGACAGGGCCGTAGTCACCATATACAATGAGGGGGACAGGCACATAGAAGGACATGGAATGATGGCAAATCTGGTTAGCCCAGATTGTCCTGAAAAAAACAAAACAAGATATAGCATGTGTATGTAGCCTTTAGAATGACTTTGATATGAGCTTAAAAGTAAAGGCAGTAAAAATACCCCAAAAATGCCTAGGGCCCATAGGGTTAAATAACCTTCCTCTTCCTGGATTTTCTCATGAGAGGACTGATTGGTGGATCTCTCCACCTGATCTCAAGGAGTTATGTACCCTGCAGATCTGTAACGTTTATACAGCCATGTGGTTGATACAGTCTTGTGATCAACACAGTCATGTGATACAGAGAGGACATATTGCTTTTGTATACTTCAGTGCGATTAGTCTGCTGGTAATGGCATACTTATCCATTAATTCAGTAGGCAGTATGAAGCACATAGGCCTACTGATTGTCTGCAGAATGTATAAAATCTGGGTGCAATCTGCAATCAGAATGCAGTGCAAGAGTAGAGGCCATTACTTGAAATTTTATTACATCTATAAAACATTATATATTATCACATGAATTACAGAAGAATGTCACCATGCTGCCCACCATGACACAGTGTAGGACTGCAAAGTAAAAGAAGGACTGCTTTGCCCAATTCACTTCCCAGCAAAATGGTGGCAACATCTTCCCTCCTAAAATAGCTAGACCTTGTGGCAAAGATCAGTTTGGTCTATTTAGTGGTGTAGAGAGCATTTCATTTCTGCTGTCCAACTGTAAACAGATGGCAGAGGTGGTAGGATGTAGGTCATAACCGTCAGTTTTAGAATTCATGGGTTTTGCATTCCTGAGGTGTAGTTTATAGTTAGAGATACAGTTATAGTATAAATTATTTTTTAAAAGTGACATTTGTATTTTCTACGGTCTGTTCTGTAAGACGTTTTTTCAGCCAAAGAAAAGAAACTCAATGTTTTTTTTAACATAACATAAGGTTATACCACTACAGATTACTAAATACATATCCTAAAATGTAATTTGTAATTATATTCCATTAGATTACTCAATCTACATAATGTATTCTCAATACTTTGGATTACTTTTGGAATACTTCACAATAACTTTTGTCTGGGTTTTACATTTACATGCCAAAAACACAACAGTGCCCTGGCTGTGCATCTCCTCTGCCATTGTAATGTGGCAGGTGCACTGCACATATTCTTTAAAATCTGTTTTTAGGAAGTGCATGTCTGATATGAATCTTACACTGTCTCCTAAAGCCTAGTATACACTGTGCAATTTTGGGCCATCCCAGACATAATATGACCAGCATTAAAAAACTTGGCAATACCTTTGATCGTGGCTCTCAAAGAATGGTCCTGCGTTGCACAGTGAGAGAGGTTCAAGAATGGCCATTGTCACAGTCTTGCGATCTAAGAAGGCCTGGGATAAAATTCTGACAGTGTCAGAAATTTGGAATAACCATCTCACTGTGTGACTGTTGTTACAACCAACATCTACTAACCAACCAATAGAAATGCAGCATGAAATGATGCACTGGTGCTAAACCCAAACAAACAGACAGATAGCAGCTTTCCATGGGGGAAAAACTGTGCTATAATACATGCGTGGGATTCCAGCAAAGAGGAAAACCTTGTGGAGTTGTGGCAGCAGAAGCCTTGCCTGTATTATGTGTCCTCCAGCTCTTACCATGATCGTGAAAAGAACGGCAAAGCATGGAGGGAAATGGCGGCAGAGTTACAGCTGCCAGGTGAGCAATTTAGCAGCTAGCGAACACACACACAGACACACCGCAGTATATAGTGCCTAACAACTTCAGGTTATTTAATAATGAGACCCTCTAAGTTGTGCTTCACAGTTGGAGTAAGTAAGGACTAAGTAATAATCCGTGCAGCATCCTTGTGCACTAAGTATGGGAAGCTATTGCATTGTACGTCATAGCCTGGGATTCAGTAGGTGCTGGTCCCTGTCATCGTACAGTATGCATACATCAAACTTGATGTCATACTCAAGTTTATTAGATTCATGTCCCACAGTGTAGCTGCGCTAAACTTATAAGACTGCTAATATCCCACAGTCTGTAGGAGACTTAACCGCAAGAAAGGCACTCTGTCCACACTGTAAAATAAGCACTTCTGCTACATCATGTAAACAAACCACGTAGACTACCTATCAGCTGCACACTCAGCTAGAGACATACCCACTTTAAAGATGGACGAGTACTTGCTGTCTTTCTGCGTTTGCACTTTAAACAAAAAAACACACATTTTATATTGTGATTTTTACTGGAAATTGCACACAATATAGCCTACAGCAAATGGTTTGTTTTTAGTGATGATCACTTAGCAGAAACTTTCAGCTCCCTGGTGATCTCCCTCCAGCCAGCTGCCACCTTACTTGGGCTTTTCCAGTTTAATGAGAATATGTTGTGTCGATAATTCCTCATTTCAACTTCACACATTTCTCATCCATCTTGGAGCTTTCAAAGTAAGCGACAGGAATAAATATAAACAGGGTATACAACAAAATTTAAACTCAAAATGGCAGCGCTGCATCACTCACAGCCACTTGGAATATTTTAACAGAAATCAGTGCAATCAAACTGGCGCTCGCTCGCATCACGTTCAGTTAGTACACTATGTTAGAGCAAAAATAAATAAATAAAGTAATCCCTTCAAGTAATCTATTTCTACAGACAGTAACTGGATTCAGAATACCGCCAATTTAAACTCTAAGTGTGATGGAATACAGTTACTCATATTTTGTATTATGTACATTACTTTGCTGTAAACTTAGTTACATGTATTACATTACTCCCCAACCCTGAGTGTGGAGCAGTGGCGTAGGGTTGTTGCAATGGGCCCAAGTGCATGCTATTGTGCACATATTATCTTGTTATATGATCAGAGACATGACATTAGACATACAGAAATTTTAATGGTTGATTTATAGTTCTAGAATAGCTGATTTATAGACTTTTTGATTTATACTTATAGAATAAGCATATACATTTTGCTATAGATGCTATTTATACTATTTTACAAAAAAGAAAAAATAATCATGATAGAGATGGGTTTGACTTTTTCAAGGGCATTAACAGCAAATGGCACTGTTTTTAATATAACGAGAGTTCTTCTTTGAACACAGGCATATTTTCAAGGTGGCAATCACTCATAAGGGCCCAATCTCCACCCAACACATTGCTGAAGGGCCCATTCTCTCTGTGGGCCCCCCCNNCCCCCCCCCCCCCCACCTCACGGGCCCCAGTGCAACCGCACTGCCTGCACTGTCCATATTTACATCCCTGATGTGGAGCATTTGGCTCGTTTGGATAGTGGTGGATGAAGTACTCCAATTCTTCCCTTAAGACACAGTTACAAGTGAAAGTCCAACTGTAGCCCAATTCTCCTGGCTACGGCCCTGTCAAGTGCTTCAATGGGTCGGTGTGGAAATGACTTTACTTTAGGGTAAGAAGCTATAAACTTAGATGCAAAATGACACTGCTTCAAATTTCCTTCATTGAAATGTTAAATGGACATAATATGATAGTATATTTCGAAGGTGAGTAGGGTTAATAGGTTACTCTCTATTCTTATAAAATAGATGAGTGTCTCGAATAAAATTGTAAAACTATTCCTTTTAGTTTCACAAATGTGTATTCTCGTTGTTGAATAAATGTATCTTCATGTAGCCTACATTTTTGCTGACAGTTTCTCACGCTGGCAACAACAAAGCAAACGCCAGGTTTTGAACACTTTCTGTCCCCACTTTACTAGAAAAATGACAGTTTGATTCACATCCACAGAGCACCGCTGACAAAATTTCCGCAGTAAAATAATACATACAAATTCAATGAATCACAGCGTCTGTGGTCCGACCGTAGAGGTGCACTGGCTGATATGTAAAGACAAACGTTTACCTACCTTATTTATGAGAGAATATTGATCTTGTCTTGGCACATGGATCCCTCCTGTGGTGCTGATGGTGATATATCCAGTAGTTAATCATGAAAAACACCAATGCTGTCCTCTGGAAAGTCCGTTCGACGCATCAGTGAACGTGTTATTTCTCGCTGTGTTGAGACGGATGAGAGGAGTCTCCGGCGGCGTCTCATCAACACACGGGCAAACTTTTCCTATTCTCCAAACACTGGCCCCACTGCTGCTGTGACATCACCAGCCTCTCCGCCAATCACGGGCTTTAACAGCCCTGCATGTTTCATTGATATGAAATGTGGATCATTTATTTGCTTGATTATTATCGCATATTTGTAATGAGGCTACATTCTGTCTAGTTAAATTATGGATACCCATGAGGGGAGTTTTGAAGTAGTCTACCTCAAACTTTCATTTTCACAACTGGCACTGCTTTTGGTAAAACTGCCTCAAATTAACAGTTTAATAATTGCAAGCGTTTTGTGTTTTCTGCATCGATGGGATGTTAACTAAACAAAGCAGGCAACTGCTGCCAGACTCCCCACATTCCCAGGCTGAGGACAGAGCATGCAGTCGTTTTGTAAAAACTTACAGTGATATAATCACAATATCAACAGCATTTTACAAAAAAGAATACATTTAAAAAAAACACAACATTTCAGAAAATGCATTTGTTTTGTGAAATGTTGTAGTGTTTTGTGAAAATTTGTTGTGTTTGTGAAATGTTGTAGTGTTTTGTTTTAGTGTTTTAATTGTTTTTGTGAAATGTTGAAATGTTTTGTGAAATGCTGTTGTGTTTATGAAACGTTGAAGTGTTTTGTGAAATGTTGAAGTGTTTTGTGAAAATTTGTTGTTTGTGAAATGTTGTAGTGTTTGTTAAATGTTGTGTTTATGAAACGTTGAAGTGTTTTGTGAAATGTTGTAGTGTTTTGTGAAAATTTGTTGTGTTTGTGAAATGTTGTAGTGTTTTGTTTTAGTGTTTTAATTGTTTGTGTGAAATGTTGAAATGTTTTGTGAAATGTTGTTGTGTATGTTAAATGTTGTGTTTATGAAACGTTGAAGTGTTTTGTGAAATGTTGAAGTGTTTGTGAAATGTTGTGTTTTGTGAAATGTTGTAGTATCTTGTCCAATGTTGTTGTGTTTGTAAAATGTTGTTGTGTTTGTGAGACTATGTTGTGTTTGTGAAATGTTGTAGTGTTTTGTAAAATGTGTTTGTCAAATATTGAAGTGTTTAGTGAAATGTTGAAGTTTTTTGCAAAATGTTGTAGTGTTTTGTGAATGTTGAAGTATTTGTTAAATGTTGTTGTGTTTGTGAAATGTTGTTGGGTTTGTGAAATGTTGCAGTGTTTGTTAAATGTTGTGTTTGTGTTTTATGAAATGTTGTTGTGTTTGTGAAGTGTTGTAGTGTTTTGTGAAATGTTGTTTGTGAAATGTAGTTGTGTTTTGTGAAATGTGTTTGTGAAATGTTGTGTTTGTGAAATGTTGTTGTTTGTGAAATGTAGTTGTGTTTGTGAAAGGTAGTTGTGTTTTGTGTAATGTGTTTGTGAAATGTTGTTATGTTTTTGAAATGTAGTTGTGTTTTATGTAATGTTGTGTTTGTGAAATGTTGAAGTGTTTTGTGAATTGTTATTATGTTTGTGAAATGTTGTGGTGTTTTGTGAAATGTAGTGTTTTGTGAAACGTTATTGTGTTTGTAAAATATTGTAATGTTATGTGAAATTTTGTTGAGTTTGGGAAATATTGTTTTTGTAAAATGTTGTTGTTTTTGGGAAATGTTGTGTTTTTTGAAATGTTATATCTGTGAAATGTTGTTGTGTTTTGTCCCTCAGGGACACCATATAAACAAGACAGGGCCACAGGTAGTAATGCATAGTTGATATTGCAAAAAATGCAAACTGCAAAATCAATCAATCAATCAATTTTATTTATAAAGCCCAATATCACAAATCACAATTTGCCTCACAGGGCTTTACAGCATACGACATCCCTCTGTCCTTAGGACCCTCGCAGCAGATAAGGAAAAACTAAAACAAAAAACAAAAAAAAAAAAAAAACCCCTTTAACAGGGGAAAAAAACGGTAGAAACCTCAGGAAGAGCAACTGAGGAGGGATCCCTCTTCCAGGACGGACAGACGTGCAATAGATGTCATACAGAACAGATCAACATAATAAATTAACAGTAATCCGTATGACACAATGAGACAGAGAGAGAGACAGAGAGAGATGCAGGACAGATGGTAATGACAGTAGCTTACAACAACATTAATTAAATTAATAATATTATAATTCTAATTACGGCTATTGTGGTTCATGTTGAAAGTATATATTAATATCTGATAGTATACATTATGTGACAATAATCATATGTGTATAATAACAGTAGAAGTATGACTAATGATAACAGCAGGAGGAATCAGGCAGGACCACGGCAGCAGCACATCCACACACTTCACTCTATCCAGGCACCGCTGCGATATAAGTTAACCTGCGAAACAGTGGAGCAACAATTTTGCGATGTTAAAGAAGCTCCAAAAACGGACATCAATGCTAAATCCAGGAGCCCTTGCAGCCTCCATAAGAGAAAAAGGCCAGACAATAGCCCTGTTGAGCCCCAAACATAAAACAAGCAAAATGTACAGGCTGAAGTATCTAACAAAACGGAAGAAGTACAACAAACCCATTCTACCACTGAAGGTCCAGAGGAGAAGATAGAAGAAGAACCAGAACTGGTCATCCATTACTTGACCTACATGTCTCCAGTAAGTAACCTGTCACCACTACAGGCAGAGCAAGGGCCCAGTGGAGAAGAACCACCCTAGGAGAACAGCAGTAAGACAAGATGGAGGTTAGATCGAAAAAGAGGTTTAAAATGCTAATGAAATAAGTGCTATAACATAAAGAGTCAGCATATGAACAAAGATATGTGATTTATATTAAAAGACATTCTGTAATAGACACTGAATCACTTTTTATAAGTACAATTGTGTGTGATTTATCTTGTATGCTTGTATTATGATAACAAATGAATGTGTTTAATCAAGTAAATTTTAATAAAAGTGGAACTATTAGTAATTTTATTAGCAAATGTTCAACTATAAGTATAATGTTCATTATAAAGTTTACTAGAAGCAAATGTAATGTGACCTTATGACATGTGTGCAATGAGGGAATAGGGAAATGAAAGGACTGGTGGAAAGTACTAAGAGTACCAAGCAGGCACAGATGGCCAGGGGAAATGGAAAATAAACCTGCATTATAATAGATAGTTTGATTATTATATTTGAAAAGTCTTAATCTGTTTTTTTGTTAGTATCGCAGCACTGAGACAGCCCTTCTTCTTTTTAACGAATGCTGATGCAGACACATGCTCAGTTCTGCTGCTGGATTTAAGTGCTGCCTTTGACACAGTTGATCATGGCATTCCTTTAGACAGACTGAGACACTGGGTAAGCATGCCTGGTACGGCTTTAAACTTGTTGTGGTTAGTTTTGTGTCTCCATTAACAACATCATGTCATCCATTTCCCATATCAAGTACGGTGTGCTTCAAGGATCAATGCTTGGACCAATTTTGCTTGGGTGACACCATCTGTCGAGATGGTGTCTCTTGTCACTGTTATGCGGATGACACATAGTTGTATCTCCCTGTTAAGCCCACTGATCTCAGCATGCTGGGTTCTCCGCAGGACTGTCTGTCTGATGGGAAAAAATGGACGTTGTTATCTTCAGCTCAATTCTAATAAATCAGCAATCCTTGTCATTGGATCCCAGCATATCAATAAAGAAATACTGCCACAACACATAAAGTCTGTTGCAAGAAATCTCAGTGTAATGTTTGATAGTAATTAATGTTTTTAGGAACATATCCCTAAGCTTGACCAATCATGTTTTTATCACCAAAGAAATATTGCAAAAAAAAATATAACTCTTAGAGATACAGAAACTGTTGTACATGTTTATCTCTTCATGCCTCCATTATTGTAGAAGCGTTTACACTTGCCATAAATTAAAAAACTGTGAAACAGCTACATATTGTATAGAACTCAGCCAAGACCTTGCCAAGAGGTAAGATCAAAGGTTTTAGCCTTGTAACATTACCTCCCACTCTGTTTTAGGACTGATTTTAAGGTGTTATTGGTCACTTTTAAGGCTTTAGTCTTCATGGCCTGGCTCCAGATTACATTTCAGACCTTTTAATCCCTTATGACCCTTTGCATAGTTTAAGATCCTCAAGCAGGGGTCCTCTATTTGTTCTAGAGTCCAGACTGAAGACTAAAGGGGACAGAGCTTTTGAAATCAGAACCCTAAAGCTCTGTAGGCAGAGTGTAAGGAAATTCTAAATTGGTGGAACACTCTTGTCCCACTGTCAGACATCAACGGTGCAGTGTGGACATTAGGGAACAGCAGGTAATTTGGCTACCAGTGGGGTGTCCAGCTCCTGCTTGGTGTGGTGGATGATGGGTGCCAAATCCACTCTGCAGTCAAGGCAAAGAGGCCAGGCAGATTGCCGAGAGGGTGACAGTGCGTGGGCAGCTCCTCTTCCATCAGTCATCCCCCTCATCATATTCATCCCAAGATTTGGGCTGGCGAGCTTGCTCTCTGTAAATCACCATCCCAAGAGAAGCACAAGACAGGTAGGGCAAGAATCAGTCCCAGCTTGGTACCCCTAGCCAAGACAGCGGAGCCAGACCTTATGGTTGTCGGAGGACAGCAGGAGGAGGAGCATAAGTATATGGAACAAAGTTTGCTAGAAAAGATGTTGTCAACACCAGAGGGTGTCTGGAATTGTAAGGTAGACCTTGATGAGCAGCAGGTGTGCTGTGGTTTTATAGTGTGCCATTGTTACCTCCTTCCTGGAAAGTGAAAAATCTATCATATCTGCAGTTGTAAATGTGGTGTTACTATATTTTGTTTGAGTACAATTTTGCTCCAGATGCTCTCCAGCTCTTCCCCAGGGAGTAAGTGGCCCAGCGGAGTCTGCCTGACCACTAAATCAAGTTCAGATCATTCTTTGTATGTGGTCATGTTTATTTGTCACATACATAATCATACACAATACCAAGTGTAGTGAAACTGTTTTGCTGTTTTGTGTCTGGCTCGAGAGCACATCTCACAAAAAATAGAAATAATA